TTTTCTCCCCTCTCTCTGTGTGTATGCATGTGTATGTTATGTTATTGATGCATCTTCTTTATATATATATATAGATTCCAAAGCACGTGCCAGACAGAGTGGACAATGTGAGTGAATTATCGGTTACCCTCACAGCCTCCATGCTCACGCGCAGAGGCGGAAATGGAAAGGTGCGGGGGTAGGTGCTCTCTCTCTCTCTCTTTTTCTCTCTCTCTCTCTCTCTCTTTCTCTCTTCCGGAGGAAGCTGCGATCTTTAAGGCGCAATACATCATAAGCCATAAAGAGGCGAAATTTCGGCACAGAGAGATGAACAACAGAGTGGGGAACACAGGAATACAGAGAGATATGAAGAGACAGAGAGGCAAAGAAAGAGAGATAGAGAGAGAGAGAGAGAGACAGAGAGGCAGATACATAGAGAGAGAGAGAGAGAAAGCTAACACAGAAAGAGAGAGAGAGAGAGAGAGAAAGAGCGAGAGAGACATAGTGATAGACAGAAAGGGAGAGAGAGAGAGAGAGAGAGAGAGAGAAAAAGAGAGAGAGGGGGAGAGAGAAACACGGATAACGAACATCCACCCAACAACACACAGGAACTTCCTGAAACCGAGTCATTATTTTAAGGGGCTCTTGGGCCGTCTGTGAAGGATCTTGAGGGCCTGTTGGGTCGTCGTGGAGCGTCGGCAGCTCGAACAGGCGAGAACGCTCGACTTTGCCAAACACCCATGGGCAGTCAATGATTTTGGCTTTTGGGGGCGCTCTTGGACGGCCTCTTCGGGCCTTCTTGGGGCGTGCTGGGGGCCCTGTGGACCGTCTCGGGTCCGTCGTGGGTTGTACTTGGGCCCTCATGGGCTGTCCCTGTGCTCTCCAGGGCCGTCTTGGGCGCTTCTCGGGACACTCGTACAGGTTCGTCGGACCGTGGGGGCCAGTAGGTGGCGCTCGTTCAGGGTTTCGCAGGGGAGCGCCGGAAAAAATCGCCGTCGGCGGTGGACTTTGGATATGTATTTCCTAATGCTTGCGGAGCATGGCTCGTATGGGGGGCCGGGGGGCCCTGGCTGGTCTTTGCATGGCCCAGCGAGGGCGCCATTCTGGGCCCGTCTTGATTTTAGAAGGTTCTTCCATATAGGAAAACAGCGCCTTCGGCGGGCTTCGTTCATAAGCCTTGGCGGTGACTGTACCATGGCCAGCTACAGCTATGATTGCGTTCGTATGGGGCAACTTTGACGTAGACGGCAAACAAATAGTGGCATCGCGTCCCAAGATTCCCGAAAGGCCCGAAAAGGGCTTAGGACATTCAGAACATCGAGCTTTCTTTGTTTGTGAGGAGCAGGAGGAGGACGAGGACGAGGAAGAGGAACAGGAGGTGAAGGACGGAGGATGGAGGTACCAGGTGGAGGGATCAGGGGTGATGGTGATGCTGCCGATGATGAGGAGGAGAAGGAGGAGGAGGAGGAGAGGGAGGACCAGCGTCGGGGTTTGCTAAAAGGTGATCCTTGCCCAAGGTGTCCTCATGTTGTCGCTTTATTTTGGATCTCCCGGGGCCTTTTTAGCCTCTCGACGGGATGCTTCGGAGGCCGTGGGGGCCTCCTTGGAAATCCTGGGGGGAGACCTTATGTCAGGGGCACTTCTGGCAACACCCGACAGAGTAAACGCAAGATGTATCAACGCTGCTGCAATGCACCCTCTTGTCCCAAGTTCCCTCCCCATGAGTCCCTGCAAGCCTTCGCTTTCGCGACGACGAACACCCCTTTCAGAGACTAGCGCCCGATGGGCTTGTCATGTGGGCGGATGGACGCAGATGGACGCAGTTTGAGGAGGAATGGACCTGTACATTTCTAGATGTATGTGTATATGTGTATGCATGTATATATATATATGTATATGTGTATACGTATATTTACATGCATCTGTATATGTCTATTTTTATGTACATGGACCTGTGTATGCATATGCATAGTTATATATATGTATATACACATGTTTATGTCAATGTATATGTTTATGTACATGTATATGTATAGGTATACGTATACATATATATATATATGTATATGTATATGTGTATGTATGTGAATATGTATATGTATATGTATATGTATATGCATATGCATATGCATATGCATATGCGTATGTATATGTACATGTATGCGTTCATGTATATGTATATGTAGAGGTATATGTATAGGCATATGTATATGTATATGTATATGTATATGTATATGTACATGTGTATGTATATGTATGTATTTGTATTTGTATATATAGGTATAGGTACATGTATAGGTATAGGTTTAGGTATCGGTATAGGTATAGGTATAGGTATAGGTATCGGTATAGGTCTAGGTATAGGTATAGGTATAGGTATAGGTATATGTTTATGTATATGCATAGGTATAGGTATATGTTAGGTATATGTATAGGCATAGGTATAGGTATATGTATAGATATATGTATATGTATTTGCATATGCATATGTATACATATATGTATATGTATTTGTATATGTGTATGTACAGGCATACGTCAATGTATGTGTGTGTATATAGATATGTCCATGGATCTGTATACACATATATATATATATATATATATATATATGTATAGACACATCGCACCCCACAGTCGCAGGTGAGAGTGATGGGGGCGGTGGGGACGTCGGCAGTCTGCGAGGCTCCGAAGAAGCCCGCCGCAGGCGCTGACTTTCCCGTTAAACCAATGCGGGTGGGTCGCGGGGTGGGTCGCGGGTGGGTCGCGAGTGGGTCGCGGGCGGGTCGCGGGGGGTGACGACGTCAAGCAACTACAAACAAACAACACGAATAATCCGTATCGCGGAATCCCACTTCAGCCGCGCACCCAGGGACAGTGAATGACCGTTCGGCCCCCCTGATTCTGATTCGTACATATATATACACATGTATATGCATATACATTCATATAGATGTGTGTGTATATGTATATATGTCTAGGAGTAAGGCATGCGACACGGTAGGATCATACGTTCAACGAAGTGTCCCGCGAGAGCCCCGCTTTGAACAGGGAACCGTCACACATCCGCGCAACCGTTGGACAAGCTGCCAGTCATGACAGTTCAAGTTTAGGGGTCTCCGTACGACGACGATGATGCTGATGATGATGATGATGATGCTGATGATGATGATGATGATGATGATGATGATGAGGATGATGACGTCGTCGCCGACGCCGACGCCGACGCCGACGACGACGACGATGCTGATAATGATTCTGATGATGATGACGACGATGATGCTGATGCTAATGCTGATGATGATGCTGCTGATGCTGATGCTGCTGATGATGAGGATGATGATGATGATGATGATGATGATGATGATGCTGATGCTGATGCTGATGCTGATGCTGCTGCTGCTGATGATGCTGATACTGCTGCTGATGCTGCTGATAACGATGGTGGTGGTGATGTTACATCTGAAGATGAGTATGAATCTGTTTATGGTGTTGGTGATGCCGATGATGCTGATGATGCTGATGAGGGGGAGGAGGAGGATGAGGAGGAGGTTGAGGATGAGGATGAGGATGCCACTCGTTTTGGCCGTCTTCGGGCTGTCTTTGTCTCCTGTGAGGCAGTCCTTGGGGTCCCTCGGGGCCCTCGTGGGTCGTCTTGGGGCCCTCTGACGCTGGCTTGGGGCTTTCTTCGGCCGTCTTGGCGCCCTCTTGGCCGTTAGGTGGGTGTCTGGGGGCCGTCGTGGGGCCGTTCGCCCGCCTTGGGGCCATTTTGGGCCGCCTTCGGGGCATCTTGGGCCATCTTGTTGTCTTGGTTGCCTACACGGGCCGTCTTGGAAGCTCGGGACGCGTATCCATCGATTTCAACGATGGGTCGTGGCTTGGGAGGCCCTGGAGCGCTTGGGAGCAGCGCCTGGGAATGCGGGATGTGCAGGATCCTCGAGCGGGTGCTCGAGTTGGCAGCCATGCGGGACGTGCACAATCCTTGAGCGGGCGCGCCTGAACTGAGGGCTCAGGCATTGGCTGCCATGCGGGAGGCGCACCATCCTCGAGCGGGGACGCGTGGAAGGGGGGAGGGGGTCCGGCAGCAGCTGCCATGCGGGAAGCGCACCATCTTCGAGCGGATACGCGCGGAATGGGGGTTTGGGCATTCGCACCCATGCTGGAAGTGCACCGTCCTCGAGCGCGCACGAGGGGAGTGGCGGCCTCGGAAGGGATGGCCGGTGCACGCAGCAGTCTGCGGGTAGGGATGGGAAGGACCCCTTACACAAGCAAAAAACATCAGACAGGCCTTGTCATTCTTCCACGCCTCAACGTGCCATGGGGCGCGGTGGCAGATCTATAAGGAAACGGGACGTGTCGATGTATGGATGGATGGATGGATGGATGGATGGATAGATGAAGGCTGCTGATGATGATGCTGATGATTCTGCTGATGATGGTGGCGATGACAATGATGACGATGCTGATGCTGATGCTGATGATGATTGTGATGCTGATGCTGTTGATGATGATGCTGGTGGTGGTGATGATGCTGATGACGATGATGATGCTGATGCCGATGGTGATGATGATGATGCCGATGCTGATGATGACGCTGACGATGACGACTGTGATGATGATGCTGATGCTGATGCTGAGGATGATGATGCTGTTGTTGCTGCTGCTGATGATGATGATGCGGATCATGATGAGGATGACGATGCTGATGACTCTGATGACTCTGATGATGATGATGATGATGATGATGATGATGATGATGAGGTTGATGTTGCTGCTGATGATGATGATGATGCTTATGATGATGATGATGATGATGATGATGATGATGATGATGATGATGATGATGATGATGATGATGATGATGATGATGATGATGATGATGATGATGATGATACTGATGATGATGATGATGCTGGTGATGATTATGCTGACTATAGCAAAGGCAGCGGATGAGGATGATGAGGAGGTCTTCTGCTCCTCTTGGGGGGGGGGCGCATGGAGAAAGCGGAGGGGCAGCCGAGGCATCGACTACTCCTGCGTAGGCGCGGTCATCCTCTGAGGCCAGCATTCTTCCAATGGAGGGGGGAGCACGGGTGAGGAGGCAGAGGGGGGAGATGGAGGGGGGAGGGATGGGAGAGGAGGAAGGAGAGAGACGGATAAGTAGGAGGGAGAGGGGAGGATGGGGAGACGGAGGAGGGGAAGAGGCGGAGGCGGCGGAGGAGGAGGAGGAGGAGGAGGAGGAGGAGGAGGAGGAGAGCGGGAGGAGGAGGAGGAGGCGGAAGCGGAGGAAGAGGAGGAGGTGGACCAGGACGGAGGAGACGGATGGTATTGATGTTGTTGATGATGTTGAGGATGATGAGGATGAGGATGATGCTGATGATGATGATGGTGATGATGGTGATGATGATAATGTTGACGATGCTGATGATGACGACGATGAGGAGGAGGAGGACGAGGATGAGGATGACCATGATGCTGATGATGATGATGATGATGCTGATGATGAGGAGGAGGAGTACGTGGATACTGAGGAGGTTGATGATGATGCTGATTGTGATGATCATGATGATGATGATGATGATGATGATGATGATGATGATGATGATGATGATGATGATGATGATGATGATGATGGTACTGATGATGATGATGATGATGATGATGATGATGATGCCGACGCTGATGCTGATGCGGCGACTGTGATGATGATGCTACATACTGGCGTGATGCTGGTGATGGTGATGCTGATGATGTTGAGGTTGATGATGATGATGATGATGCTGATGCTGATGCTGACGGTGATGAGTGCGATGGCGATGCTGTTGATGATGCCGCCGATGACAACGATGACGACGGCGGCGGAGGCGACCACGACGATGATGGTGCTGATGTTGCTTCTGCTGCTGCGGCTGATGATGATGCTGATGCTGATGATGATGTAGTTGCTGTTGATGATGATTATGCTGGTGACGATGCTGCTGCTGATGACGATGGTAATTCTGATGATGATGCTGATGCTGCTAATGATGATGATGGCGATGCGTATGCTGATGCTAATGATGACGGCGCTGATGATGTTGATGATGATGATGCTGATGCTGCTGCTGATGATGATGCTGATGATGCTGATGATAATGATGATGACGATGCTGATGCCGATGCTGCTGATGATGATGACGATGCTGCGAAGGCTGATGCTGATGCTGCTGCTGATGCTGCTGCTGATGCTGCTGCTGCTGATGCTGATGTTGTTGTTGATAATGATACCGATGGTGATGCTGGTGCTGTTGGTCCTTCTGCTGCTGCTGACGGTGATGAGGATGACGATGACGATGACGATGACGATGATGATGCTGCTGATGCTGATACTGATGATGATGGTGATGATGATGTTGCTGATGTTCATGCTGGTGATGATGATGCTGATGCCGTCGATGCTGATGAGGATGATAATGCTGCTGCTGATGATGATGATGCTGATGATGATGCTCATGATAATGCTGATGACGCTGATGATGCCGATGCTGCTGATGACGATGACGATGCTGCTGCTGCTGATGCTGCTGCTGCTGATGCTGATGCTGATGTTGTTGTTGATAATGATGCCGATGGTGATGCTGGTGCTGTTGGTCCTTCTGCTGCTGCTGACGGCGACGAGGATGACGATGACGATGACGATGACGATGATGATGATGCTGCTGATGCTGATGATGATGGTGATGATGATGCTGATGTTCATGCTGGTGATGATGATGATGCTGACGCCGGGGATGATGATGAGGATGATGCTGCTGATGCTGATGATGATGCTGATGCTGAAGGTGGTGGTGATGATGATGCTGATGATGAAAATGATGTTGATGATGACGATGATGATGCTGCTGATGCTGATGGCGACGATGATGACGACGATGATGATGAGGATGTTGCTGCTGCTGATGATGATGCTGGTGATGATGCTGATGATGATGATGTTGTTGCGGATGATGATGCTGACGTTGATGATGATGATGATGATGATATTGTTGATGATGACGATGCTGATGCTGGCGATGCTGATGATGAGGATGATGATGATGATGTTTATGGTGATGATGATGCTGATGATGATGACGAGGCTGATGATGATGTTGATGATTATGCTGATGATGATGATGATGAGGATTATGCTGACGCTGATGCTGATGATGATGCTGATGATGCTGCTGATGATGATGCTGCTGATGAGGATGACGCAGATGCTGATGACGATGCTGACGATGATGAACATGATGATGAGCATGCTGATGAAGATTATGATGATGGATGGTGATGATGATGCTGATGATGATGGTGATGCTGATGATGTTGATGATGATGAGGATGATGATGATGACGATGAGGAGGAGGAGGAAGAGTATGGGGCGAGGATAATGAGGAGGAGGAGGTGGAGGAGGAGGAGCAGGAGGAGGATGAGGAGGAGGAGGAGGACGAGGACGAGGAGGACGAGGAGGAGGAGGATCAGGACGGAGGGGGAGGATGAAGAGGAAGAGGAGGATGAGGAGGAAGAGATCGGCTGGATGATGGCGAGGAGATTATTTACATTCTTGTTCGCTCTCAGAATTTATCGAAGGATGTGGAGGAGGGCAGGGAACGGACGAGGAGGAGGGGGGGAGGAGCAAGAGGCGGGGGAGGTGGGAGGGCTGTGCGTTAGTCAGCCCTACCGTCCGGGCCACAGTACAGAGGATTGCCCACGTAAGTCGCAGTGGAGCTGCTTGCGCAGTGGCACGTGGTTTGTGTGGACGTGGATGCGGCGACTGCGGGGTGGGGGATGCGGAATAAGGACCACCTCGTCTGAGGACAGCGACAAACAACAGCGACGGGGAATGATGATAGGCAGCCACCACGACCTCAAATTTCGAGGGACGGCCTTCGTGCTCAACTTCAAGGACCAAGGTGCATGACGCGAAGCGCCAATGCAGTCTTGTATGTATCGAAGACGCCTACGGCGAATCACCGCCGTCCCCCGCCTTTTTGGAAGCGCCTATGTGGTCGAACGTTGAGGCCAGGCCTGCCAAGCTATCGGACCATGTGTTCCCCGAATCGGTTTGGAAAGCCTTCGGGGAACACGTGGGCATCTTGAAGGTCATCTTGGCCGTCTGGAGGCCATTTTGACCCTTTCGGGCCTTCTTGGAGGACGTCTTGGAGGGCTCTTGGGCCGTCTTGGAGGCCATCTTGAGCATCTTGGAGACCTCCTGGGCCGTCTTGGGGGGCCTGTTGGGGCCGTCTTGGGGGCACACACTCATCCAAAAACGCTCGGGAAATCAATGATTTTGGCCTTTTCGGGCCTTCCAGGAGGCCCTCTTGGAGGCCTCTTGGGCCGTCCTGGGCCATCTGAAGGCCATGTTCGGCCGTCTTGGTGGGCTCCTGGCCCGTCTGACGCCGTCGCAAGCCGTTTGGGGGATCTCTCTGGTCGACTTGGGGCCCTCTTGGAATGCTTCAGGGCTGTCTTGGAGGCCCTCTTGGGCGTCCGAAAGGCCTCCTGGGCCGTCTTGGGGGCCTCTTGGGCCGTTCTAGGGCCATCTTGGAGGCCTCTTGGGCGATCTTTGGGCGATCCTTGGGGTCTCTTGGGCCGCTTCGAGCCAACTTCGGCCATCTTGGTGGGTTCCTGGCACGTCTGACGCCGTCGGGAGCCGTTTGGGGGCCTCTCTGGGCCGACTTGGGGCCCTCTTGGGGCGCTTCGGGGCCGTCTTGGAGGCCATCTTGGGTGTCTTGGAGGCCTCTTGGCCCGTCTTGGGGCCCTCTTGTGGCCGTCTTGGGGGCCTCATGGGCCGTCATGGGGCCATCTTGGATGCCTTTTGGGCGATCTTGGGCCGTCTTGGGCCGTCGGAAGGCCGAAAGGGCGCAAATACCGAAATCCTTCAACAACCGATGCAACATCAATGAGTTTGGCCTCTTCGGGCCTTCCTGGAGGGCATCCTGGAGGCCTCTTGGGCCGTCTTGGAGGCCTCTTCCGAGCCTCTTGGGCCGTCTTGGGCCATCTTGAGGCCATTGTAGGCCGTCTTAGGTGCATCTTGGGCTGTCTTGGAGGCATCTCGGGGCCATCTTAGCCGTCTTGGAGGCCATCTTGGCCGTCTTGGAGGCGTCTTGGAGGCCATCTTGGGCCATCTTGGAGCCGCCTGGAACGGAAAACCCTTTGCAACCACCTCTGGGCAAATTTTCGGCATCCTTTCAGGTGGCCAGCGGGACGGGCCGAAGCCCCAGGGGGAGTTCTGTGGGAAAAGAACCGAAACCAAAACCGATAGGATTCGGCACGCCAGGCACCCCTGCGATGAATCGACAGGGGGCGGCAGATGGAAGACGCCTACGGCGAATCACCGCCGCCCCCTGCCTTTTTGGAAGCGCCTATGTGGTCGAACGTTGAGGCCAGACCTGCCAAGCTATCGGACCATGTGTTCCCGAATCAGTTTGGAAAGCCTTCGGGGAACACGTGGGCATCTTGAAGGTCATCTTGGCCGTCTGGAGGCCATTTTGACCCTTTCGGGCCTTCTTGGAGGACGTCTTGGAGGGCTCTTGGGCCGTCTTGGAGGCCATCTTGAGCGTCTTGGAGGCCTCTTGGGTTGTCTTGGGGGCCTCTTGGGGCCGTCTTGGGCCTCTTGGGCGATCTTTGGGTGCACTTGGGCCGTCTCGGGCCGTCGGAATGCCGAAGAAAAGCAAATGCCCAAATCCTTCAAAAACCAATGGGGAAATCAATGATGGTGGCCTTTTCAGGTCTTCCTGGAGGCCCTCTTGGAGGCCTCTTGGGCCGTCTTGGGCCATCTGAGGGCCATGTTCGGCCGTCTTGGTGGGCTCCTGGCGCGTCTGACGCCGTCGCAAGCCGTTTGGGGGGCCTCTATGGGCCGACTCGGTGCCCTCTTGGAATGCTCCAGGGCCGTCTTGGAGGCCATCTTGGGCGTCTTAAAGGCCTCCTGTGCCGTCTTGGGGGCCCTCTTGGGGCCGTCTTGGGGCCCTCTTGGGCCGTTGTGGGGCCATCTTGGAGGCCTCTTGGGCGATCTTTGGGCGATCTTTGGGGGCTCTTGGGCCGTCTCGGGCCGTCGGAAGGCCGAACAGAAGCAA